AATTCATTTTCAAAAACGTCTCTATCACTTTCACTTCTCACTCGCCACAAAGCTCTTGTCTCGCTCCCTCCCACATTTGTTGGTCGCATCCAATTTTACCTTTCTCGCCACAATGCTGACCTGTTACAGCCAGTGGTCGCATCCAATTTTTCAGTTTCAAAGTACTTAGCTATCTGCTGCCATCTACTGATTTGAAAAAGTATTACATGGTTACTCACAGTTCAAAACAAGTCACCGCTCGTCAACAGCGAATGCAGCTATTTTTAGACAAAGTAGACGAATTTCTCACGGCACACCAGACAATATCATACGGCACACTAGTGTGCCGCGGCACAGTGGTTGAAAAACACTGGGTTAGACTACTGCAATGGCCTGCTCACAGGTCTGTCCAAACAGGCTGTAAAACAGCTGCAGTACATTCAAAATGCAGCAGCTTGAGTTCCGACTAGAACCAGGAAGTACGACCATATTAGTCCGGTCCTCAGGTCTCTGCACTGGCTTCCTGTGGCTCAGAGAATAGACTTTAAAACAGCTCTGCTTGTGTACAAGTCTCTCCATGGCCACGCACCAAAATATATTAGTGACATGTTAGTACCATATGAACCAGCCCGGACTCTGAGGAGCACAGGGACTGGACTCCTGTTAGTGCCCAGAGTCAGAACTAAACATGGGGAGGCTGCTTTTCAGATTCATGCTGCTAAAATCTGGAACAGTCTTCCTGAAGATGTGAGACAGGCCTCCTCTCTGACAATGTTTAAAACCAGGTTAAAAACAGTTCTGTTTATCTGTGCATAACTGAGGGATTTTATATTTGTATCTTTCTTTTTAATGGACTGTGATTATTTATGATTTTAATGCTTTCTTGTTTTTGTTCAGCACTTTGAATTGCCTTGTGTATGAATTGTGCTATACAAATAAACTTGCCTTGCCTTGCCTTGAAGATCCAGGACTGAGACAGTAAACCCAAGACTGAGGCTGTAGACCCAGGACTGAGACCGCAGACCCAGGACTGAGACCGCAGACCCAGGACTGAGACCGCAGACCCAGAACTCATCAGCCTCAGTCTAATTGTTTGAAAAAGGAATGACACATTTCTTCTCCAAAGCCGTGTGCGTGTCATTAGCCAAAACATAAATTAAAACAGACTTAAAAACATCGACCGTGTTTCTATCCGTTCCAGGCGCGATTAAACAGCAGTCATGCATTTTCATTTCTTGTTTTAACGATCTTATCCACAGCCATTAACTAAATTACCTTGCATTTTGTAAACAAGTACAAATTAGCTTCTGAAATCCTCCCGTTGACAGACACCTTTATTTTCATTATTCTTGTATTAAGTTTGATGAACGACTGGTGAGGGATGGAGAGTCTCTGAGTGGTTAGCGCCTCACGGATCCATAAATCACCTCCACCGGAAGTTACCTGCTGATGATGAAGCCAGATCCTGTCACAACGCCGAAGCTGAGCAGGGCTGGGTTTGGTTAGCGCTGTGATGGGAGACCTCTGGGATCCATTTTCCGCAGTGGGACCAATTGTGATGTCCTTAGGCAAGACACTTCCCCCACAGTAGAATGAGTCTGGTGTGTGTGCGAATGGCCGGTTGGTGGGGGTGGGGGTGGGAGGGGCTGATGGCACATACTGGTTGCCTCTTGCCCCAAGGCAGCTGTGGCTGGATGAATAATGACAAGCGAAGCGTTTTTTGAGTGTCCAAGAAAGCACAAAAATAAAACCCATGCATTATTATTGTAAATCGTGACCCAGAGGTCTCGGACGTGGCCTAAGGTCGCGGTCACCTGTGAACATATGTGCACAGGAGGAGGCTTCACACACTGACACGGAAATGAGGAGCAGCATGGGGACTATGACAGGGTTTTTGTCAAAGTCGGTATATCTCTGTATGGTGGTCTCTCTCTGGTTCATTCCGAGCTCTCTCTGGTCTATCTTTGGTCTTTCTCTTTGGTCTCTCTGATCTCTCTGGTCTCACTCTCTCTGATCTCTCCATCCTGTCTCTTTGGTTTCTCTGGTCTCTCACTGGTCTCCCTATGATGTCTCTCTGATCTCTCTCTTTGGTCTCTCTCTGATCTCTCTTTGGGTTCTCTGGTCTTTCTGGTCTCCCTATGATCTCTCTCTGGCCTCTTTCGGGTCTCTCTCTTGTCCCTCCCACTGATCTCTCGCTGGTGTCCTTCAGGTCTCTCTCTCTGGTCTCTCTCTGGTCTGTCTCTAGTCTCTCTTTTGTCTCCATGATCTCTCTCTCTCTAACACAGCTGTTATCTCTGTCTGCTCCTTTCCAAATCTAGCAAAACATTTTTGCCTTTAGCTCTAGCTTTATTCTATAGATTTAGTTTCTGCCTCTGAGTATTTCGTGTTTACTTTGACATAATACATGACGGGTACAAAGGTCCTCTTCTCTCCCGCTAACACCCCAGTACGTCGCTAACAAATACGACTCGCTTGTTTCCGACATTTTAGTAAATTATGTCTGGATCCCTGGTGTTTCTGGACAGTCTGCCTCGTCTCTCCATTTCCAGCTCAGTGCTCTCTTCCGCAATTAAAAACTTTTTCCCCTCAGCAAAATCCACATTCACAGCAACAAATGTCAGGCTATGATTTTTTTCTCCCAGATTTTTGGGTCTGGTTCCGCGGCTGTTTTGGAAGTCTCCCCACGTCCTTCCTCTTCAGAGTTTCCGATGTGACCAGTGGGACGTCGCCAGAGCAGAAGTTATAATCATATTTTTCATTTTTACGCCGCGGCGAGTGAGTAAAAGTCATCCAGGTGGGTTTAGGAGTGAGCGATGCGGCGCTAGAATAGATTTTGATATTTTTCCACAGCTTGTTAGAAACTGAGTGGAGTTTGTCGACGGATATATAGCAGTAAAAACATTTGTGTCGTTTGGAATAACAAAATATCTATCGCAGAGGGAGGAAGAGAAGATCCAGAGACAGGACAAGAGAGACAAGGATCTGCTTTCATTAGGACCTATTTCTTCTGTTGCTAAATATTTCTGTTTAGGAATCTGGACCCAGGAACTTCTTGCTGTGAGGCACAAGCACTAGCCACTGCCGCCCATTTATCTAAACATGTCAGCAATTTCTTCAAATGATACAATTTTTATTTCCCTCTGTCACTTTATTTGTCATATGAAATATTCAACTGAAATCTTATCTTATCCCTCTCTCTTTCTGGTCTCTCTCGCCTCTCTGTGTTTTCTTTCTGGTCACTCCCTCTCCTCTCTAGGTTCTCTTTCTCTCTGGTCTCTATCTCACCGGTCTCTCTCTAATCTTTCTCTGGTCTCTCAATCTCCTTTCTCTGTCCTCTCTCTCTTTTGACTCTCTCTGCCCTCTCTCTTTCATCTCTCTCTCTCTCTGGTCTCTCTGTCTGGCCTCTCTCTCTACTCTCTCTTCTCCCTCATCTCTTTCTGGTCTCTCCCTGGGCGTCGTCGCAGCTCTATCATCTCTGACCTTCTGACTGGTCGCCTGGTTTCCATGGTGATGCAGCAGGACAGAGATGGAGCGGTGAGAGCTGTGTTTATCGCCCGCTGAGACCGAGAGATACCTGGTTCTCCAGCCGCCCCCTGCTCTCCCAGCTGGACTCTGGCTAAAGAGGCTTTATATCAGACTCATGAGAATATTGACGTTGTAGATTCACGATTTAGAATGTGCCATATGTATAAATATGTATCGCTGATTGATAGACGTAGGGACAATCCAAATCTAGATTATATTAAGTTTTACTTAACACAGGATCTCTCTGGTCTCTCTCTTTGGTGTCTTGCGAGTCCATTTCTCTCTCTCCCTCTTTCTGGTCCCTCTCTTCGGTCTCATTCTCTGGCCTCTTTCTCTCGTCTCTTTCTGGTCTCTCTCTGGTCTTTCTCTGGCCTCTCTCTGGTCTTTCTCTGGCATCTCTCGGGTCTCTTTCTGGTCTCTCTCTGGTCTTTCTCTGGCATCTCTATGGTCTCTTTCTCTGGTCTTTCTCGACCTTTCTCTGGCCTCTCTCTGCTTTCCATCTCTGCTCTCTCGGGTCTTACCATAGTCCTTTGTCTCTGCGAATTGTGTCCTCTGCATTTGACCCATCTTGCACTTCGTAGTAGGGGCCCCGGAGCACCTGGAGGAAACCTACTCAATCACGGGGAGACCACTCAAACCCCACACCTCTCTATAAACTATAGCAGCTCTTGTTACCCGTGTAGAAAACCAAAAGGAATGGACAGTTATGTTTTAATTGCATCAGCTCTCTATGATTCAGAAGGAGATATTCTCAGTCCAACTCCATTCATTTTCTATTCCACTCACACAGGACGCACCTCATAAACCAGGGCCAAAGGTGAATGCAAAGTAAATTAAGCCATTCATTATTCATTATCTGCAGCCTGTGCTGGTATAGACGCAATATTAGTAGAGAAAATTCATAAATATCAGTAGTTTTACTCATTTTACTTAGAAGGCCAGATGAGTCATGTCATGACTCAAAATCTTGCCTAGACTCTCTGGTCTGTCCGGACTGTTTCTCTCTGTTCTGCCTCTCTGTGGTCTCTCTCTCGCTCTGGTATCTCTCTGGTCCCTCTATCTATCTCTCGCTCTCTGGTCTCTTGCTTGTCTCTCTCTTTCTCTGGTATCTCACTCCTTCTATCTCTCTCTCTCTCTCTGGTAACTCAGTTAACACTAGTTTAAAGTTATCTACAGTGCTTTTCCTTCAAAATTAAGTCCATTTCAATGTGACCCCAAACTTTTGAACGGTAGTGTATAATGAATAGAATTGACCTCCGGAATCCCAATGCCTAACCCAAACCCATATTTCCTCCCAAAAAATTACACAAACGTCTTATAACTCAGACTATTGCGCTTTAAATCCGGCCAATATCAATTTCCAACAATCAAGCCCGTTTTCTGTAATATCAATCACAGTTAAAGTACTTAGCAAAACAGCTTTGAACAGATGTCGCTAATAAATAATCTACACAAAACCAATGGAGGGAGACCGGCTGCAGATAACAGGATTAGCATCAGATTTGGCATCGACGCGTTTTGTGGGTTTTAAGCTTGACTGGCGCACACGCAGATTGATAGACCTGGGTACCGGACGTGGGGAAGGGGGGCTCCGGATGGACAGGTAGCCAATGGAAGGACAACAAAGCCACGGAGCAGAACACTGTGCAGATTGTGTGGCCGCTATCCGTGTTTGCACAGTTTAGCTCTGGGTAAATATTAGCTTTAGCGCCGCGGCTAACGTGCTCCTCCGCTGGGCTGTGGCTGTGGCCTGGGTTGGCCCGTCGGGAGGCCGAGGAGGGAGGCCGAGGAGGGAAGCAATCAGACTGCAAAAAAAGGACATGGAGAGTTTAATTAGGAGTTGGAATGAGGGTAAACGGACAGGAGATTTTAGTGAACGAGCAGAGATAATGGCGATAATGAAATTCTAGCAAAAGCAAATTAAAAACCAGTTAAGTTTTTGCCTTTTGGGAGTGGTGGCAAGTAGCTACATGTGTGCACTGTTCTGTACTGTATGTAGATGGACACGCTAACCCGCTAGCTCAATGAAGCCCAATAGGAGAAGTGTTCTTGGACAAAGTTTAGCCTTGAATTAATTTACATATAAAAGTAAACTCCTCTAGCTCAGTAATCCTTTGTGTCACACTCACCGTTTTGGCTCGCTGCGATCCTGGTGTTTATACTTTAATGTTGTCTTTGTGAATCCGAATTATGAGCCATGTTGGCCAATCGGAGGCCTTCATTCCCGGGGGAAACTCCAGCTTGCCTTAGCAACCGCCTTAGCCACATGTACTCCTCGAATGAACTCGAGGAGGACTTGAAATGTTGTAACTCACTGATTAACTTTAAACAAAAGTACAAAGAAAAGGTATTTAGTAACTATGCTATAGAAAATGAAGTGTAAATCTATACTACAAAAAACTATTCTTTGACTCTGAATTATATTTGTTTTTTTGGTATTTTGTGTATATATATATATATATATATATATATTTTTTTTTTTTTTTTTTCTTCTCTCTCCTTTGCTAGATCTGCTTCGTTCTCTTTTGTGTACACTTTGTTTGTTTTCTTATTGTACACGCAACTTGTGTTCTATGATGTATGCATTTAAATTAACTTTACCACTGTCTGTAACAACGCAATTGTTGTCAAGAAAAAGAATATGAGAAAGGGGTAAGCATTAACAAGTTTTATACTTCTGCTTACTCCTTTTGAGCTTTTCTGTGTGCCTTGCTTTATCATTGCATACAGCGCAAATTATGCCTGTTTGTTCATTGTTTTTTATGTCTTTTCACACAAATAGCTCAAATAAACGAAATGAAATGAAATGTCAAGCTAATCCCATCAAAGCTAATGCCCATATAAGGAAACTGGCTCCAGCTAGCTTACATTCAAATGGCCCTCTTTTGCATTAATATTGTGCTTGTATCACGTAAGTAAGGTTTCAAAATTAGTAAGTACATTTCAAACTTGATTGAGATGTATTTATAAATCTTTTTGGACATTTTAAAATAAAAAAATGCTTTGTACGGATGACAAGGTTCTGTATAAGTTCTTGTCATACTACTGTGATATTTTTTCTGTTTTTGTAGTATCTGATTTTTGTAGTATCTGATTGATCAACAAATAATATCTTTTTCAAACACATTCATGCTACAAAATGCTAATTCATAATATTTCTCTCATTTAATCCCCCAGCTTTTGTGAGAAATAAAAAAACAAAAAACAAGCATCTTCGGGTCAAATTACCCTTGAAAATCTTCCGGAAAACTCCATCAACAAACACAGTGACATTGTTTCGAGGACGCGAAAATCAGAAATGTCATTGTTCTCGGAATTTGCTGCTGTTTTCTGTTGCCGTGTGGCATCGTGGGTAATCGGATGAGAAACAGGGCCGTCTGGTGCGATTATCCGCCCCTCGCTTTTATTACCGTCACAAACGTCGGAGGATCAATGAGTGGATGTCTCTGGCCTCACCTCCAGACGCCCTCGCTTCTGCTCTCCTTCGTCCTTTTACCTTTTTCATCTCTGATCTGTGTTTTTCCAAACGTTGCGGCTGATCAGCGGCGGCTTCGCTCCCCGCGGGTTCATTACCGACGCGGCGCATGCTAGCTGATGCGGTTAGCGGCTGGAGATGATTGAGGATAAAGGAGGGTGAAGTGACGGAGAGCGACTCTGGCAGAAGGAATGGAGCAAAAACAATCCATTCGTCTGTGAGAATCGCAACATGTTATGGGAAAATCTGCTTTGTGAATGTCTCTTCTATGGCAAGGCAAGGTTATTAGGTTAGCACAGTTCATACACATGGCAACTACCCGCATGAATCTGAAATGCTGCCTCTTCATGATTAGTCCTGACTCTGGGACCAGCAGGAGTCCAGTCCCTGTGCTCCTCAGAGTCCCAGAGAGAGTCCAGTCCCTGTGCTCCTCAGAGTCCCAGAGAGAGTCCAGTCCCTGTGCTCCTCAGAGTCCCAGAGAGAGTCCAGTCCCTGTGCTCCTCAGAGTCCCAGCAGGAGACCAGTCCCTGTGCTCCTCAGAGTCCCAGCAGGAGACCAGTCCCTGTGCTATTCAGAGTTGCTTCATATGGTGCGTACATGTCACAGATGTACTTTGGTGAGAAGCCAAAGTACAAAAAACAAAAATATAGATTATTTTAGGCCATTGAGATTTCATTTGTCGTTTCTGGTTTTAGAATGTGTTTCAACTTGTGGTGCACAAAAAAGTCAAATTTGTAAGTAAGTAAGTCATCTTTATTCATATAACGTATTTTTAATTTTTTACGCTTTATAATGTTCAAAATGACTTAATAAAATCCATACCTTTCGTTTATGGTTCTCCAAACTGTCATTTTCACTTATGTATGTATGTATCTTTTGTCACTAGTTTTGATCAGATTTATTAGTGAAAAAGAGTCCCAGCCAATCAGCTCTCAGTATGTGTCTTGCGGTCATTAATTGTTACTTATACAAGATTTTTTGATGGGGACAAAAACAAAGCAAGTTATAGTTGGCTAAAGCTAACGTACAGCGTGGGGTGAGGCAGCTTTTCCGGTGATGTGTCTGAAATAATGGCTTTGACCTTCGCTTCACGTCCAGAGCGGGACGTCTTTGTAATTTCTTCTCGGTTCAACAGTTCAATGTCGCCGTCGTTAGCTTTTCCGCGGTTAGCCAAAGAGTATTCAGAACGTCCGGAGCCAGTTCCGGGTCACGCAGCCTTCTGAGGTCCTTCTCTTTCAGGGTTCGGTCGTAAACATTCTTTGTGATGCTAGTTTTGAGTTGAGTTCCACCGACTTACTGTATACTTTGACCGTGTTTGCTTCTGAATCCATTCACACGAGTCACGGCGCGCTAACCATAACTCTGACCCTAGAGCCAATACCTGAGATGGAAAAATCATGTCTAGTTTCATCTTCAGGATTGAGAAAATGTCTGATAGATAACAGTATTTATTTATTATATGAACCCTTTAATGGTTTCCCTAAGTATCTGGTGGATCACTGTTTGAGTCACTATAACTACTTATACTTGGTTGTTCGCATTTTTACCATCAAACCTCATCTCAACCATTTGATAAAAACCTATTATTTAAAACAAAAAAACAGGGGTTCAAAAGAAACAAATTGTATGTGTTATTTGTGTCCTGCATCTTGAAAAAATAAAAGAAAAAAATTGCATTGCTTTCTTCAAGGAGTGAATGTTGAAGGGCTAATTAAGAACTGGCCGCATGTGACATCACTACAGTGTTAGCCGTAGCGCGGAAGAAGCCGATTTGAACATAAGCTAGCTGGAGCTGATGTCCTGTTCCGAAAGAGTCTATCCCTATGGTTCATGTCTTTACTATGAAAAGATGTGAAAGCCAGAACTATCTATATGAGCACTTTCCTATGAGGCTTTGTTGAGCTAGCTAGTTAGCATTGTCCATCTATATACAAGGTAGGGTCTTATATCCATCCATAACTATCAGATTAATGATTTAAAACTAATTATTTGAATTAGGGCTGAACTATGTAGACAAAATATCTAGGAAAATTTTTTCAGGGAGTGGATTCAAATGGATAAAAGATATTAAAATCAAAGTGCATTATTTAAACGAGAGACGACAAAACTGTTGAGCTGTCTCCACAAATCTTTCCAGTACATCGGTAACATTTATAATTGGGGATTTTCTTTGAAGTTTTATTTGTTAATCGCAACCTACGTTTCGATTTGAGGCTTATGTTCCGCGTCTGTTGTCCTCCAAAAGTTGCGTTTTAGAGAGTCCCTGGAGAGAAAAAGTTTATATATTTTAGATCCTGCCATTAAACGCCACCATCAAAAGCAGCTCCTGGCGCCCGACGTTCAATACCAGAAACGACGCTTCTATTTCTGAACCGCAGGTGCCATATGCGCTAAATATCTCTCCTAACGGTAGGAAAGAAGACGTCTATTTAGTTAGTTGGATACTTTATTGATCCCCGTAGGACAATTTTAGGTGAAAAAACAAACCAAAACGAATAAATTGATCATTCTAAAAAGAAAATTTTCTCTTCTCTAGTCCAAAGTAAAATGCTAAATGCTGTGTATTTTTTTTTTTTTTGCATTTTTGTACAAAGTTAGCATTCCTCGGGTGGATTTTCACCTGATCCGCTTGTTTCGGACCATGAATCCTCTCTGCTCTGGTCTGGACCGGTGTAAAACCATTAACACTGAACTGAAGCAACATCTCAGGCAGAAAAAAATCTGTTTCGAGGCTACGTAGGACTTGCTGCCGTTTCCAGCATATTCAAAAGTAAAAATTAGTGGACAAACCATTGTAGATTCAATTCTATGTATTAGTGTTTAGCCCTGAATCACAACAGCAGTCGTCTCGAAGGACTTTACAAAGGTCGATTCTTCAACAACAGATCAGAAAATCAAGTTGAGTTGTTACAGTAGCTTGCATAGTATTCCACAATAAAAAAAAACAACAACACTTAATTATGAAATTGTCTTAACACTAGAACTCACAGTATTTTAACCATTATTTTGACTGTTATCATTCAAATCAATGGAATTTGTAAAAATGTCCTTCGAAAAAAAACGTTTCCATCAGATTTATTAAAAGTAAGTCTGTTGTATGTGAGTAATGTAAGTGATGTGCTGGGAGCTCTGTCTATTCAGAGACTAATGATCAAATGTTTGCTTCAGTTCATGTTTGTAAAGTCTTTGAATAAAAGGGACAATAATCACAATATTATCCCAGAATCACAATATATCACAGAATCACAATATATCATAGAATCACGTTATATCACAGAATCACAATATATCACAGAATCACAATATTATCACAGAATCACAATATATCACAGAATCACAATATATCACAGAATCACAATATATCACAGAATCACAATATATCATAGAATCACAATATATCACAGAATCACAATATATCACAGAATCACAATATATCATAGAATCACAATATATCATAGAATCACAATATATCACAGAATCACAATATTATCACAGAATCACAATATATCACAGAATCACAATATATCATAGAATCACAATATATCACAGAATCACAATATATCATAGAATCACAATATATCACAGAATCACAATATATCACAGTATCACAATATATCACAGAATCACAATATTATCACAGAATCACAATATATCACAGAATCACAATATATCACAGAATCAAAATATATCACAGAATCACAATATATCACTGAATCACAATATATCACTGAATCACAATATATCACTGAATCACAATATATCACAGAATCACAACACATCACAGAATCACAATATATCACTGAATCACAATATATCACAGAATCACAACACATCACAGAATCACAATATATCACAGAATCACAATATATCACTGAATCACAATACTGTCTGTATCGCGATATGTTAAGAACCACAATAATATTGGATTGTGACCCAAGTATCATAATATTTTATCCCATTCCCATCATTAACATCGACATTCTCCGCTGTGAGTCAGATATGTTTGTGTAGCCAAGGACGAGCTCATGCTAACGTCCAGGACCGCGAGGAGCAGTAAGGGGCCGTGAGGGAGCGGAGAAGGTCCAGTGGTCATTGTTTTTGAAGGACACCATCCATCAGCCGTCCCCATGGTCCCGTTATGTTGATGTGAACATATTTCAAACACGTCGATGCTTTAAACTGACATTGACAAACAAGAGAACGTACAGTATGAATGATCTGTGACTCACAAACCAGCAATGGGTCACCATGGCAACCACCCAGGGCACCAGGACCCAGACCAAGACAAGGAGAGAGAGACCAGGACTAGGACAGAGAGACCAAGACTAGGACAGAGAGACCAAGACTAGGACAGAGAGACCAAGACTAGGACAGAGAGACCAAGACTAGGACAGAGAGACCAAGACTAGGACAGAGAGACCAAGACTAGGACAGAGAGACCAAGACTAGGACAGAGAGACCAAGACTAGGACAGAGAGACCAAGACTAGGATAGAGAGACCAAGACTAGGACAGAGAGACCAAGACTAGGACAGAGAGACCAAGACTAGGACCTGACCCAGGCCAGGGCCAGGAACCGGACAGAGACCAAGACCAGGACGAATACTAGATCCAGGTCCAACAACAAGACTAGGACCAAGACCAGAACGAAGACTAGATCCAGGACCAACGGTGAGACAAGAACCAAGACCAGATCCAGGTCCGACTACAATACTAGGACCAAGACCAGGAAAAATACTGGATCCAGGACCAGCAAGGACCAAGACTAGATCCAGGACCAGCAATGACCAAGACGAGATCCAGGTCCAACAACAAGACTAGGACCAAGATCAGAACAAAGACTAAATCCAGGACCAACAAGGACCAAGACCAGATCCAGGTCCAACAGCAAAACTAGGACCAAGACCAGATCTAGGTCCAACAACAAGACTAGGACCAACACCAGGACGAATACTAGATCCAGGACTCTAGGAATCCAGACAAGGACCAAGACCAGATCCAAGTCCAACGACTAGATCCAGGACCACACCAAAATTAACTTTGCTTGACTGTCAAAGCTAGCATCCTCTCTCTACGGCGGCTGACATGGGCCAAATACACCTTTTTGAGTCC